GGCGCCGCAGGCGGAGGATTAGCCAAGTGAGCCCTGGTGCCGGCCACACACTGCACTTTTTACCTACCCCCTCAATCTGCCTTTTTAAAAAAAAAAAATTTACTGCAATAAAATTTTTAAATTAAGTTCAAATTTATTTTTCATGCTCAATTTTTTGGCAACCAGACAATCTCTGGTTTAGTTCAGCCTTTCTCCTTGGGATAAAGAGAACAATGCTTAGCAAGATTGGCATTTGGACCAAGCCTAACTCCATGGATAGCGAGATTGGGCTAGAGAGAAGGAGTGGGCTTAGAAGGTGGGGCTCACTGAAATACGAAGTCCACCCTGGTGAGTCTCCTCCCACCAAAGTGCAACTTGGTATTCATTTCTCTTTATTTTTTTAAAAAACATACATTATTTAATGTAACTACATATCTTACAAGATCTTGAAAAATGAGTTCCTTAAAAGGGAATAAAATGGGGTCAGTGCTGTGGTGTAGTAGGCTAATAACCACCTGTGGTGCTGGCATCCCATATTGTTGCCAGTTCATGTCCTGGCTGCTCCTCTTCAGATCCAGCTCTCTGTTGTGGTCTGGGAAAGCAGTAGAAGATGGCCCAAGTCCTTGGGCCCCTGCATCTGTGTGGGAGACACGAGGAAGCTCCTGGTTTGTGGCTTCAGATGGGCTCAGCTCTGGCTGTTGCGGCCATTTGGGGAGTGAATCAGAGGATGGAAGACCTTTCTCTGTCTCTCCCTCTCTCTTGTCAGTAACTCTACCTCTCAAATCAATAAATCTTAAAAAAAATAAAAAGATTATGAAAGTAGAAAACTAAAGTCGATTTAGCAAAAAAAAAAAAAAAAAAAATGGTGGAGAGGACCAAAAATTGATGCTAAGCTCTCTGGGAGCTGAAATAGAGGAAGACCACTGTTTTTGTTTTTAATTGTGACATCCCTAAGAACATTTTATAAGCACCAGAGCTGCTGCAGTACTCTGTTTTATTTGACTTACATTGTCACTTAGATAGCAGCAACCAGCTGTCCAAGAGGAGCTTATTCTGGGAAAGACATTGCGTAATGCCCAAGGAACAACTCCCTGATAGTACTCCAGCCGTCTCCATTCTGTCATCAGTGGGGATGGAATTACTGTAGCTTCTCCACCCTGTTACTCAGAGTTCTAAAAGGAATCTGGGGACCTGATGGTCACAAAATGCTATGATAGTTCCCTTTCTCATCCTTTTTATTTGTCTGTTCATTTATTTAATATAGGAGTGGACATTTGGTACAGCAATTAAGACGCTGCTTCAGACACCTACATTCCAGATCAGAGTGCTTGGGATCAAGTTCTGGCTCCACTTCTGATTCCAACTTCCTGCTAATGTGCACAAGGGGAAGTGATGACTCAAGTGGTTGGATCCCGGGCTCCCAGTTAAAATACTTGCCTAGAATATTTTGAAACAGTGAAAACTGAGTCTTATTTATCTCTGTATTTACCATAACACTTACACTGGGGAAACAGGGCTTAAAACTGCTTTATTAATAAAATAATAATATCTTTAAGAATCCCAAAGGGGTAGGCAGAGTAAAAGAACTTGATAGCTTGGTCCTGTCTCCTGGATCCTCACAAGGCCCCTTCTGATTTCCTTTCTTTTTTTTTTTTTTTTTTTTTTGACAGGCAGAGTGGACAGTGTGAGAGAGAGACAGAGAGAAAGGTCTTCCTTTTGCCGTTGGTTCACCCTCCAATGGCTGCCGTGGCCAGCGCACTGCAGCCGGCACACCGCACCTTCTCCTGGTCTCCCATGGGGTGCAGGGCCCAAGTACCTGGGCCATCCTCCACTGCACTCCCGGGCCACAGCAGAGAGCTGGCCTGGAAGAGGGGCAACTGGGACAGAATCCGGCGCCCCAACCGGGACTAGAACCCGGTGTGCCGGCGCCACTAGGTGGAGGATTAGCCCATTGAGCCATGGTGCCGGCCTCTGATTTTCTTTCATTCATTCAGCAAACATTTAGAGCATTGCTAATGCTGAGCTCTGGCAATGGCTACAAAAAGCACAACACCAAAAGAGCTTATGGTCACGCTGGATAAAGAACTCATGCAAAATGACATATTCATATTAACAAGCTGCCAAGGGAATTAAGAGAAATAAGAGAGGAGTTCTTCCTCAGAGATGGAAGGTTTGCGTGGAAAGAGGGAGTGGGCAGACAGAAGCATACTCTCTGGGGAAGTGACATTTGAAATGGGTCTTGATTGATGACCCATATTTCATCAGTAAAAGGCATACACAGACATTGATATGTTCTGTTGAGGGACCAGTGTGTGGAACACAGTGGGCATGCAGGGAGAGGGGAACTAGGGGCCAGCCATCACTGGGTCAGGCCCCCGTGGCAGATAGTGGCGTGTAAAGGTAAGACTGGTGGATATTCCAGTTTATAGCCATTGTGCCATGAAATGATTAGTAATACCTCCTTTAAGTCTCAATTGCTGTCCAGATTTGGATTATAAACTATATGGCCACCCTACTGACAGAATGGTCCATTCTTTCTTCTCCCTTCTTTTGTATCCCAGGCCAAAGCCTTCTATTCTACCCTGGGCTCCACCTCATCTCTCTCAGTGTGGGGGCAAAGACTGTAGAACATGGAGTGGGAGCTCTTCCAGGCACTGAACTGAGACCATCAGAAAAGGGCATTCAGTTGCTGTTGAAAGGATCCTCCTAGACCAGCAGAACTGAACAAATTTGAACAGATGCCTGGCTGAGGCCAGCATGAGTCTGGTGCACCCCTTCCCAGCACTGGACCGAGCTGTGTTCCTTTCTGGGAAAACCCTCTTCTCTTTTTGACATCCAATCTTTCTTCAAGACCTAGTTGAAATCCCATCCCCTCCCAAGAAACCTTACCAAACCTCTCACAGAAATTGTGTCTCTCATTTATTTTCCCATAGAGTCTTGTCTGAAGCTGTGTCACGTTTCCACAAGCAGTAATTGGTATTTTGTGTGCATGTACCCCACTCATCTGTGAGCCCTGATCAGACATCTTTGTGCATTTGGTGGCACCACTATCAGGTGACAGCTCAAGGTGACAGACCAGGCACAGTAGCAGGGGATTTCCTTGTATCTTGTCTAATCACTGCAATAATTCTCATGACACCAGCTTTATGATTACCCATAGTTTATGGATGATAAATTCTTTATTAATTCCATGACAGGTGAGACAATTTGCCCCTGATCACAGAGCTAGTAACTAGCTGTGCTGGGACTTGAACTCAGGCCTGTCTGATTTGACTCAGGAGTCTTACTCTCAAAGCAGTGGCAAATGATCATAGATTTGAATTTTCATTTAGAAAGGTTACGGACTTTTCCAAGATGCTTTGCATGTAATAGCTCATATAATCTTCCCAATTGACCTATAAATTTGAAAACCTGGCCTATTTTATCAAGGACTAAACTGAGGCACTAGGAAAAATTGCAAGAGACCAGTGTTTGACCCAGAACAGGCTCATAGTTTCCTTACTACGTTAAGCTGCCGTGCCCTGTAAAAGCCACTTAACTTCTTTGATCTTCAGTTTCCTCTCTGCTAAAATAGGGATATTCTTAGTGCCTAATTAACATCACTTTCAAAGAATGGTGTGAAATTGGTTCCAGTATTGTGGCACAGTGGGTTAAATTGCCACCTGTGATACTGGTATCCCATATGAGCATCAACCCAAGTCCTGGCTATTGCACTTCCAATCCAGCTCCCTGCTAATGTGCCTGAGAAAAGCTAAAGAAGATGCCCAAGTGCTTTGGCCCCTGCCATGCATATGAGAGACCTGGATGGAGTTCCTGGCTCCTGGATTCTAGCTGTCCCAGCCCTGGACATGGTGGCTATTTATTTGAACCAGCAGATGGGAGCTCACTTTCCCTCTCTCACTGCCTCTCCCTCTCTCTCTGTAACACTGCCTTTCAAATAAATAAATAAGTAAGTAAATTTTTTGGAAAAACTAATTAAATGAAATGATCTTTGCAAAGGCATATTCCAAATATTTAATACATACTACACGTTGCTATACTAAATAGTTGAGTCAGACAAATTTCAATTTATCATGTGACTTTGAGCAAGTTTATTAACCTGCTCTGGGCCACAGTTTTCTCCTCCATAAAACAGGATTTATGGTACCTTAGAGTTGGTGGAGATTAAATGAAAAACTTTTAATAAGTTGTTATTTACATGGGGGAAATGTCTGTAAGTGGCAGTGACCTGCATCAGGAGGAGACTCAGGAGAGTCACCAATCCATTGGTCCCTAACCAACAGTTTGCTAATGTGCTATCAGACCAGTGGAAGAAATGATCCTAGCTCTCCCCAAATTATTTGGATTTCAATTCTCTTCCTCTCAGGATTCACAGTTTGCATCGTTATGTCATCAGTATCCTAAGAGAGCGTCTCTGATACTTTCCAATTTGTAGCTAGGGTGGTTGAAACTCTAAGAAGTGGAGGAATGCTTAAGGGTCATCCAAAGGTTCAGGCAAGTGTCAGCCCTATGAGGCCATTTTTTTGGTGGGCCAGCAATGAGAAGATATGGGAAATATTATGTAATCACCAGCACCTACAATCTCTCCTCGTGCCTCTAGAAGTGGGTCTAAAAATGTGCACTTCCTGGGGCTCATTTGAATGAGGCCCTGTGGTTCTGAGTTAGGGTTTGATGGGACACCCTCAGTTTGTTCTTCTGCCTGGAGGCCCACACTCTGGGATTAAAACTGTGAGAGACCAGTGCTTCAAGAGCATTACAAAACTGAACCACCTCCCCAACAGATTCCTGACTAGGGTGAGAAAAGGCAACTTACTCTGACTTTATTTTGTTAAATAAGAGCTGCAAGGGAAATATCTTCTGCATGAGACAGAGGGGTGGGGAATTATAACCAAGCTTCCTAAAGCTAAATATCCTGGAACATCCACTGAAAACAGTTGGCTTTCAAATGTCTGTGACCACAGTTTGAAATATATTTGACAGTGTTACTCAGTATAATAATACATATATATATATATATATATTTTGGACAGGCAGAGTGGACAGTGAGAGAGAGAGACAGAGAGAAAGGTCTTCCTTTTGCCATTGGTTCACCCTCCAATGGCCACCACGGCTGGCGCGCTGCGGCCGGCGCACCGCACTGATCCGAAGGCAGGAGCCAGGTGCTTCTCCTGGTCTCCCATGGGGTGCAGGGCCCAAGCACTTGGGCCATCCTCCACTGCACTCCCTGGCCACAGCAGAGAGCTGGCTTGGAAGAGGGGCAACCTGGAATAATACATATATATTAACCATACCAAACTGCTATTTTTTTGGTGAGTCAGTAGTGATTAGATATGAACAATATTATATGACAAACAATACAGAACTGAAACAATTTTACAACTCTTAGGTTTACTTCATGCAAAACAATATATTTTCTGGATTGTTTTTAAAAAATGCTTGTCACAACCCACTTCACTTGATGATCCACAAATAGGTTAGGGCCTCTGTGAAAAATAACTCAGACTTAACACAGGAGAGAACTTTTGGGTCTTTGGATGTAAGGCCATAATTCTGGGGGAAGCAGATTGATAACATGAATTATATAATAACTACAAAATATTCCAACTTCAAAGCTGTATCATATGTCCTAGGGTCAGTGCCAATTCTATCTTCTTTGTTTAACCCTCCTCCCCCCATCAAGACCACCAGGAATGCACCTGCTATTAGAACAAAATTGTCATGTGTTTTCCTTTGCAACGAGGATGGCAGGGCAATGTGGAACACACTCTATGGGATTCTCAGCGAGGGGGTGCTAGGCAAGGGGATTGTTTAGGACTTAAGCTTGTGTTAGGTGATTTGGAAGCATGTTGAAAGAGGAATAGAACTGAAGCCAATTCTTTGGTTGGCTATTTACTTTTTTTTTTTATTCGATAGGTAGAGTTCTAGACAGAGAGAGAGACAGAGAGAAAGGTCTTCCTTCCGTTGGTTCACTCCCCAAATGGTCGCGTCGGCCAGCGCTGTACCGATCCAAAGCCAGGAGCCAGGTGCTTCTTCTTGGTCTCCCATGTGGGTGCAGGGGCCCAAGCACCTGGGCCATCCTTCACTGCCCTCCCGGGCCACAGCAGAGAGCTGGCCTGGAAGAGGAGCAACCGGGACTGGAACCTGGAGCCCATATGGGATTAACCAAGTGAGCCACGGCGCTAGCTGGCTATTTACTTTTATCTAAGTGGTAGAAGGGACAGAATGGGCAAATGATTTAATTAGTACAGTAATGCTGCCACAGTCATGTTTGGTTATTTTTCAGGTTTGGATATTGTCACTATACTCTCAGACCAAGCTGGGCTCTGTGGCCATTTCCATGGCCCCATAGCCCTCCTGATTCCCTGTCAAGGTGCAGTCTCCTATAGTTACTCTTCTTGCAGCATCTAAATCCATAGCTTAATACCAGAGCAACAGCCCTCATAGCTACCAAGGTACCCACGGCCATGCCCTCAATGGCCACGCTGGGCCCTGAGCTAGCCTGGCTCAAGAGGTTGGCCAGCAGGGAGGGGTTATTAATGTCACCCTGCTGTCAGTGCTCAGAGTCTTGCAGCCTCACCCAGACCCTAGAACTAGAGCACTAGAACCCGCCAGAACTAGGAGCCTGGGCAAGCTGCTGCTATTGAACAAGGGTAACTGAGGAAGAAATGGGGGCACCCAGACAACTGCCAGCTGCTGGTCCATGAGCAGCCCAGCTCCAAGGCAGTAGAGAATCTGAGGCAAGCTTGGTGGAGGCTGCACCCAGCTGGGTATTTCATGGGTTGGTCTGTGTGGCTGTCTTGGTAGAACAGCCCCTTCAGGAGCCCAGGGATCTGGCCCATCAGAAGGCCAGCTACAGAATTGCCCACCAGGCACCTGAAGAGTCCCCCAAAGGGGACTACGTGGACTGCACCCAGCTCCAAGTTGCTGCTGACACACATCTTGAGGTTGCCAAAGAGCGCCAGTGGGTAGAAGTAGCCGGGGCAGGCCTGAGCCTTGGTGAGTGGTTTGGGTTACTGGGGCCACAGAGGTCTCCAAAGAGGAAGCCCGGAGTGGTAGGCAGGGAGGACTGTGCAGGCACGCACCAGGAAGTATCCAGGCTCACCACGCTGCCCTGCGCATGAGTGGACCACACAGTCCTGCAGCACTGGAAGAAACGCCAGCTCTTAGGGCACTGGGGCTGGCGCTCAGGACAGGGTTCGCTCCAGGTTTTCAATGCATTGTGCACGGCGCTGGCCCTGTAGGTGGCTGAGCAAGAGGTTTTGCTGGTGAGCAGGTTAGCCGTGTAGTAGGTCTGGCAGAGTGCTTGGCATCCTACCTGAACACAGGCTTACACTCCTGGAAGATGCCCTTGAAGCTGAAGTTGGTGTGGCTGCTGTCACCACAGGAGCCATCATCCATGTTGGCCTGGAAGTTGAGGATGGGCAGGCATGGCCTCAGGCAGCCTGAGTGCATGTTGACTGCATGATAGCGTGGTACACAGTGGCAGCCACGTGTCGCATGGCGGGCACAGAGAGCTCAGGCAGGGCCTGGGGTTGCGGCAGCTCCGGCAGGAACAGCTAGGACCTTCCCATGGCCACCAGCAGGTTGCCGACGGCTTCCTGCCATTTCTGCACCAGGGTGGTGCCTGGGTAGAAGGGCCCACGGCTGTGGTTGTGTGTCTTGGAGACTGTGGTGTTCTGGCACAGCTGGCTGTGGGCCTGCCAGGAAGCTGCTGCCCCGGCATTTACTATCAGAAAGAACACGGCAGAAGCATCTACTGTGATGTCACGCTTCTCCAGGGCCTGTCTACCAGCTCCCTCCTCACCTGGGCCTCGTGCACCAAGGTGGCCCCACACCTCCACGTCGGTGAGAACACGTGTGCCAACCCTGAGCACAAGCACTTCTGCCAGGCACTCAGCCTCCTGGATCTGGGTGTCCTCTAGGTGCCACTGAGTGTCAGCAGATACTGGCAGAAGGCTGGCCTCAGGCAGGGTTCTCTGAGGCTCTCGCAGAGCAGAAGCTGTGGCGGACCTGAACCCCGGCCATGACTGTCTGCTACTCCAGGTCGTACACCTTGATGTTCTGGTCGTCGGTGGGAACTTACCGTTGAGGCTGGGGAGGAAAGAGAGCTCTGCCTTGATCGAGATCACCCAGGCGTCGGGGTAGTTGAGCCAGTGGTCTTGCGATGCCCTCCCTTCGCGCCACCACGTGCACGTGATCTGGGGTGAGGTGCTCGCCGTCTTCTGTGGTGAACCACTGTGAGTAGTCGCGCTGTAGCCCCAGCCCCAGCTCCACATTGCGCAGTTGTCCTGCACAGCAGTGCCCCCAGCACTGACATGTTCATTGGGGGGCTGCTTGCAGTGATCCCAGATTACCCATCCGGAGGCGTGCGGCCAGGAGCAGGACCAGCAGTGGCGCAGTGCACAGGGCTGTGGCTGGCTTTGGCCTCTGGCCCCTCAGCATCTCCATGGCTGGGGGTTGCCGAGGGTAGGTAGGAAACAGGCCCAGGCACAGGTAGTGCTCAACCCGCCGCAGGCCCTCTTCAAAGAGCAGTCCCCTCTCTGGCTCCTTGCCTTGAAGTCTTCAGATGAAAGGACAGAAAGGACACCCCTTATCAGAAACACCCAGGGGGAGTGAAACTGGGACAGATTCCAGGCTTTGGGCTGGGCCAGGGAGGGAGAACCAGGCTGGTGAAACTCAGGCTGCCTGAGGCCTCTCCAAACTCAGCTCTGTGAAGAAAACCAAAGTCCCACCTTTACTGAGCCACTAATATTTCAGTAGTATTTGATCCGGGCCACAGGCTGGGTCCTGCTGTAGCAATTTGCAAATTTAAGGCTCAGAATGGACAAGGAATGGGCCCAGAGGGAGCCAAGAGTGTACTTACCTCCCGGATCTGGACAGTCTAACGCCTTCTCCTCTCCTGACCCCCAGCCTGCGGTGCATGGTGGCCAGGAGCTCACACCCACTCCGGCTGACTCCTCAGTAGGCATTCAGCAGATGGGCTGTACTGGGGGCAGCCTCAGGGCATTCCTAAGGGGTGAGAGGTGGCTATGATGCTCCAGATCCCAGATGCATGGTTACGACAGAGCTGCTCCAGGAGGGCTTTACACAACACACCCTGCAAATGGTCTGGGGCCCTAAGAATTTTGCTGGTCCGGTCCTCTAGGGGCTCCCCCACCCCCTCCCTGGGACTGATAGTGGTCTAAACAAGCCCCTGTAATAGGTGCTAGATGATTCTATTTGAATGTTTCAGTATTCTCCCTTTATACTTCAGGCAACCGGCTCCCAGAGAAGCCAGGTAAAGTGTCCAGGCTCCAGCATGTGAATCCAGTTCCACTGGATGCCAAAGGCATAGTTGTCATTCACTGATCTGTGCCTGCATTCCCTCCTTTCTACTCAGTATCAGGATCCGGGTTTTTGTCGTTGTTGTTGTTGTTAATCCTCCTAGAGCATTCCTAGTTAAAGGCTCATGGAAAGGGTGTGTGAGTTGCCTCTGGTCAGACTGGCTGTGGCAGGTGAGCTTGGAGCAGAAGTCTCCTCCCAGTACAGGGAGAAGCCACGCCCATCCGGAGTTGTGCGTGCCGCCTTGGACTTCTCAAAATCAGACTTGGAGCCTGGGTTCCGGCATGTCATCCGCTGAGCACTCCAACATGCAGGGCTTTCGTCCCTTATCTGCGGCAGGGTGAGAACAATGCAAACCTCCCCAGGCTGGAGCTACTGGATGTAAAGTGGGCAGCAGAATGCCTGGCACAAAACAGGGTGTTCTTTCAGAGAAGTGGGCTAAGTGACTTGTCCAAGGCCGGAATTCAGGTTTGCCTGAATGTACGCCTTAGTGCTCTTCCAATCCCATGATTCCTTCCAAACTTTAGTTTTACATTCTTTGATTTAAAAGTGTGATTGTTTTATCAGAAGGTAATCTGGTATGGGTTACTTACTGGAGAGAAGGCTGTTCTCTGGGAAAACAATAAAGCTTTTATTCCCCTCAGTGTTCCTCCCTATGACAGGGACAAGTAATCATGCTGCTTCCCCACATCCTGCTCAGGCGCCTGGCCTTGTGACCTAGGAACAGGCACCTCCTGACATTATAAATATAAAGGAGCTTGGAAATTCAACATTGTTGGTTATGGCTCTTTCCTGGGACCTGAGACAGTTTGTGGACATCTCATAGCTATGGATACAAGAGAAAATAAACATGCTTTGGCTGAATGGTGGTTAAACATTTGCTGACGTGGGTCAGATGCCAGCAGGAGGAGGGCAAAGAAAACTGTGAAGGAAGTTTTGTTGTTGCCAGCCCTGGGCAGCATTTGCTGAGGCCAGGAGATTAGCAGGGGTCAACTGGTGCCCAGCACTTGCATCCCCTCATTGTTCAAGGTGGGGTGAGGAACCAGGCAGGACAGACTTCAGAGCCAGACACTAAGACCCCGAGTGACCTCAGATAAGGAATGTGACTTCCTGTAAGGCAGGAACAAATAGGACTTTTAAGCCATTAACTTAAAAAAATTCCAACAAGTGCTTGTTATGGAAAATTAGAAGAGTAAAGAGGTTTTATAAAATGAAAGACTTTCTTCACTCAGTGTGCTTCCCAGAGATAATGAGTGTGAACAGGTGGGCATATGTCCTTGGGGACATGTTTCTAGGAATGCAATCATGTACCCAGCACATGCACAGATACTGTTTTCTTTTCCAAAAGTGGTGCCAGGCCACATACATTTTACCCATAGATTTATTGACTTCCAGAAAAGAGGGAGAGAGAGAGAGAAAGAGAGAGAGAGAGAGAAATGTACAAGGTCACACAAATATCCATTGGTACCAAGGCTCTTCTTGAGTCCTCATGTCTTAACTGCAGTCAAGGCTCACTGCATCCTGTACTGACTCACTCTCTTGGGCCTTGCACTTTTTAAATCTTTTTTTTTTTTTTTTTGATAGGCAGAGTGGACAGTGAGAGAGAGAGACAGAGAGAAAGGTCTTCCTTTTGCCGTTGGTTCATCCTCCAATGGCCGCCGCGGCCAGCGCACTGTGGCCAGTGCACTGCGCTGATCCGAAGCCAGGAGCCAGGTACTTATCCTGGTCTCCCATGGGGTGCAGGACCCAAGGACTTGGGCCATCCTCCACTGTACTCCCTGGCCACAGCAGAGAGCTGGCCTGGAAGAGGGGCAACCGGGACAGAATCCGGCGCCCGGAGCGGGACTAGAACCCAGTGTGCCGGCGCCACAAGGTAGAGGATTAGCCTAGTGAGCCGCGGCGCCGGCCTGGGCCCTGCACTTTTTAATTGAGCACAAATCATCTCAGCACTCAAGAAGGAGAAATGGCCAAATCATTTAACACCCCACAAGACCCAGCCAATCAGAAACAATAAAAGTTGCTAATAGCCTTCCTGAGGTTACTGACTCAGTGTTGGCCCCACATACGGGGAGCTCTTTCCATACCTTCCCTGTCTTCTAATGCGTGGTTGACAAGGAATACACGAATGAACAAAAGAATGAATGAGGATGCAAAGTGGTCTTAAATAATAACACAAAGGATGAAAGAAACTTTTCAATAGATGCACAATAGTAGTAACTGCAACATTATTTGTCTACATTTTTAAAAATCAAAACTGAAAGGGGAAGCAGCAAACGTGGGAAAGAAAAGAAGTAGAATGGAGAATTCCCTGGGGTTCAGCAGGACGTGGTTTGGGATACTCTCTACTCTTAGTGGCTCTGTGAACTTGGACACATGATTTAATCTCCTTGACCTTTTTTTTTTTTTTCCTATAAAAAGTTGTGAATGTGAGAAAGAAAACAGGAACAAAGATTAATTTGACCAGGATTAGAACAGTTCAGGATCTGCTAGGCTCAAGGGTTGGAGGGACTTTCAATCTGGTTGGCTTATGGTTCAATACCCAGGATAGCCTAGGGATCTTGATTCCCACTGAAGGTCCTGAGGCCTTTCTCGCTGTCAATTCAACCTGAGGAGGATTCTGAGTTCCATCTCTAAATAACTCTTGTTCCTTCAGTGTGTGCCCTCAAGCCTGATACACATGGAAAGACCACCTGACCAGGAACATGTGGGCTTAAAAAGCTACCAGGTTCCTCCCTTCTCCTTCCAAATGCACTTGGGAATCCCTGCTTCCTGTGTCTCTGCCTTTCTTGTGATACTTTGCCTTAAGGATATCCCATGGGTCTATTCTACTTGGTGTTAGACATACATAATCTCTGTACTTTAGCTTTGAGAAGTTAAAAATGAAGAAAGCTGTGAAGGAAAGAGACACAGAGAAAGGCCTTGACCAAAGCCTTGCTGAATTAACCCGTGTGCTTGGAACTCACAATTCCTTCCACCGTTGTATCTTCTCTGGATGACTGTAACCTCCTAACAAGTGTCTTCACCTTTTGAAGGAACACCTGGGATCCTAGAAATTCCCTAGACCAAAACCTGTAGTGGCTCAATTCTTAACAGCATCGATTAAGCCTATTAAAAGTAGTTTTAAGTAGGTGAGCATGTGACAAAGTGGTTAAGTCACTGCTTGGGACACACATATCCTAAATCAGAGAGCCTGGTTCAAGTCCTGGGTACTCTGCGTCCTATCCATCTTCCTGCTATGCCTTCATGGGAGGCAGCAGGTGATGGCTCAAGTGCATGGGTCCCTGCTACCCATGTGGGAGACCCGGGTTGAGTAGTTCTGACTGTTGACTTTGGCCTGAACCAGCTTTGTCTATTGTGGGCAGACATTTGAGAAATGAACTAACAGGTTCTTAGTTTCTGTTCTCTGTTGCTGTGTCTTTCCAAACACACACACACACACACACACACACACACAAACTTGTCCTTATGTTTCATTGAATCAGAACTTCAGAAACCATGTTCTGAGAACAAAACTACCCACACCCCACAGAATTCACAGGCTACACTAACATGACATTACTGTTCCATTGTCCTCATCAGCATAATTTCACTATTCCAGGAGACTCTAGTCCAGACATATGACTTGATTATTCACCATAGAAATTTTCCAAAATATCCATCAATGCTTCATTAAAAACATCAACACACAGTTTTGGCCTAGGGTTATGTGAATCCTTTGCCTTACCTTGTGTTTTTCACCAACCTTAGACTGTTGTGTTGTAGTCTTTCTCAATCCAAATCAAAATCTTCCTGCTGTCCACTGAGAAAACGGCCTTAAGCCAAACTGACAGTTCTCAAGAAGTTCTAACACTGACCTTCGAGGCACTGCTATATCATTGCTGAGGTGACCTTCTCCATGTTTCAACAGTGTGTACTGGCAATATTTGCAGAAATGGCATTTAGAGGACTTTCTGTGGCATGGTCAGATTTGAGAACTCTTGGACAGAATTAGGTTGAAATTGCTGAGTGTAACATCCAAGGTCCCTAGACCTTGAGCTTGACTGTTGCCTTACTTTCAAAACCCAGTTTTTACTCTCTTTCACAGAGTTTTTTTTACTCTCTTTCACAAAGCCTACACTAGCCCATGCTCTTGAATTTTTATCATCTTTATATTTTTATTCATGTATTACATTCTGCTCATCCTTCTTTTTCTTACATGTGTTGTAACTGGTCTGGTCTTCAAAGACAGTCACCAGGATTCATCCCCCTGGGAAGCTCTGTCCTACAGTGATTTTTTTACTGGTTCTGTGACTCTGATAAATTCAATATGGCAGACACGAAATTATCTCCACACCTAGGAAGGCCTGGACACTTGAACTTTTTGGAAACTGAGCCATCAATGGCTCTCCTGGAAAGGCCACAAGGAAAGCAAGAGACCATCAGATTATTAGGAAAGAGGAGTTCAGTTCTCCCAGTGTTATGACTTATTTCAGCCCTCATGCTGTCTTCACGTAGGCACTAGATATGTACATGAGCCGATTTAGGCTTTGGGGCAAAACTAAACTCCTGGTCAACGTACCATGGAACGGAAGTGGTGTCCAGCTGAGTTTGATCAAACCCCAGAATAGTGAGGGATAATGAGTTGTTGCTTTAGACCACCAAGTTTTGTAGTGATTTTTATGCACCCACTTTCAAGACCTAACCTATGCCAAAAACTTCTCTCGGAAGATTGCTGCACTACCCACTACTTTTCCATTCCACAGCTAGACATGAGAATCGCATAGTTCACTACTGAAGTCACACCTACAACTCTGACCTTCCTGAAGGGACTCTTGCATCCTTTTCTGGCCTCCCCTTGAAGATATCCCATGAATTTAATTTATTTTATGGGCAATGAGTCTTTTTAGATGAGACTAGCAATTTAGGAAAAGCTATTGTTCATTAAAGGTCAGAAGAAACTTTGAAATACAATTAACCTCCCCCCATAGGTAAAATATGTTATAAATAAAGATGAAACTGCTATCCATGGATAGGATCCTAACTTTTATTTTAACTAAGAAGTGTTTTATTTTTCTTGCAGTAGCATTGTTAATTGGACAAAATCATATTTTGTTTTTGCCATTAAACATTATCACACACTCCTTATTCTGAAAGACAAATGTTCATTAAAAACAAAGCAAAAACAACAGTTCACAACCTTAATTTAA